GTGCACATATAATGTGATTTTTAAAAAACTTAATTACATCATGTACCAATTATGTTTAAATCTCTCTGGAAGTGAAGATGTCACTAAGAATCCAACAAAGCAAAATGAAACTTCAGGTACTTCACTGTGCATTAGATACCACATCTTCAGCTGCTAACAACATACAAGCAAGTTGCATTTCAAGTAGAATTAAGCCTCAGGAGTTGTCCTTGGAATAAAAACTTGTAACCAGTATATCAGGATGTTGCAAAAAAGGCATCCCTCCAACACAGCCCCTTTTCACTTAAAGAGGGAGAGACAATTCCCTGGGACAAATAACCCAACAAGGCAAATAAACTGCAGCACTGCCTCTCTTTCCCCATTATTCTAGAACGTATCTTCTATGATTAGAGATACTCACCCTGACACTTGATCCTGTACATACTTTGACAGAATTAAACTGAGTTGCTCCTTTAAGACTTGCCAGCTCAACCAGACAACACTTACAAAATTGAGAGGGTTCAAGTGAGAGAGACTTTAAACGGCAGGGACTATCACATTTAATAATACAGTGGCATATCAGATTTCTGATCATCTGAAGTTAGGAATACAAGGGAACTCCGGCAGCCTTAAGCAGCAACAAGTAACTTGAAACCTTGTTTTACTACTGCTCATTTACATCATTTTTACTCAACTTCTCAAAGTTTCCACAAAAACACTGAGCAGTGCATTCCAACTCATGGACTGCAACATCAGAAGGAGGAAATTAAGCTAAACCCAGTAAAAAGACTGAAGTGTAATGTTGCACGTTTGGCTTCATTCTGCTGTGCATGGGACAGTCCTCTCCCCTGTTCCACAACCCACTTTTCCCATGGTACAGTCCCTACTCACTGCACACATGCTCCCTAGCTTCACTTCCTTGGTACAGCTCCAGAAAGGATTACTTTTACACAGAGCACAGCAGCACCCTCTGACCTGATGAAGCACCCTCTCTCACCCAAAACGCATCTTCTCCTTTCACTTCAAAAGCAAGAACATGGGGTTTGTTTTCACTAAGAAAAAAGGAGGAATGAACCCCAGAGTCAAAGTCCTTCCATTATTACCACAGATGAAATATTGCCCAACTAAATGTCACCCCAACATTTCAGTGCTTTAAGAGTATGTCTGTGTTTTCTCTGCAGAAAATCAGTTTACTCATATTTTCAGGCCACAAACATCAACACTACATACTAATCCAACTCAATGCCTCAAATTCAAGCCACAAGCAAGCAGGAATTGAATGCAGTAGCCCACGACTGATGCACGAGCCTCCCATTTGAAGACATGCTCCTGGAAACATTTGCTCTAGCACAGATATAGCCAAAATGCTGGCAGTACATATTATGCAAATTATGGGGAAACTGCAGTACGTCTATTAGAAGCATTGCAGATGCTATGCTGGAATAAAGGAGAAATTCCTGGCCATAAAGGCCACCTGAAATTCCAGACAGAGTCATGATTCAAAAGACACATCTGTATGTCTGTTAAGTCACATACACAAAAAGACAAAAACAAGAGGATGATTGTAGTGAAGAAGGGAAATGCTCTCTACCTGCCTGTACATACAAATCTGTTTTCTGCAGTGGGCTTTGCACATTTCATCCCTATACAAATTTGGGCCTGTCACAGTGAAAAGCCTATTGGCACTGCAGCATCTTGGTTTGGTTAGATATGCTCCTGGAGCATCCTGGTTCAGCAGCCCTGGTGCAGCAGCCTCACATGGCAGCAAAGTGAGAAAACAGCTCTGCAGTACCCATCACATTCACCTCTGTGTTCTCAGCTGCGGGAAGACAGTTCCAGCTAGCACAGACACCGTGTGCACCAGCAGCCAGCTGTAAGTCCTATTCAAAGCCTATAACCAGTGACAGCACAAGCAGCTGAGGGAGCAGACAGCATCAGCATTAACACCCAACTGATTTCTTTCTTAGGTACTGTCCAATTAATAAAACAGCGAGGATCACCAAGTCAAAATTTATGGATGCAAGAGTTACACTTAGGACAATATCTTTTCCCAAGAGGCTGACAGAACTCTCTATCTGCTGTGGACATGATTGCTCAGCCACAGGAACAAAAGCCATGACTGCAGACCACACTTTTCAGCTATTTCACTATTTGCAGCAGAAGTCTGAGCAACCAACTCAATTTGCCTGCATCTCAGTTGCTCCACATGCAAAATGCGTTCACATCACCTTCTCAACTTACCAAGACTGAAAGCTCTAAATGCACATGAAGTACCATGAATCTGACAAAAAGCTTTCTGCTGCTTTCCATGCAATAAGAGCATAATCCTCCCCAAAATAAATATGACAGCAGAAGCCAGAATGAGGAAGACGGGGCAATGAAAAAGAAGTTCATGGAATCACAGAATTATTTGGAAGGGACTTTTAAAGATCATCTAGTCCAATTCCCTTTTTAAAATTATTTTAAGGCTAGTTTGGTTTCTCACGAATGCAGAAATAATGAACTGAGAGTTCAAATATCACAGAATAGAATCACAGAATAGTTTGGTTTAGAAGGGACCATTAATGGCTGTCTAGACCAAGTCCTCCTTTTCAGAAGGCACACTATATTATAAGCAAATGTGTAAGGACAGAAGATACAGTTCCTTTTTAAAGAAAGACTCACTTATATGCATCTTTTTGCCATCCCACCACTGTATACTCACTTCAGTTTATTGGAGTCTTTCTTAGCTGAAGATTTCAATGATTTTGTTTCTTTCTCTGATTTCATTTTCTTCCTATTCATCTCCTCCTCCTCTGCTTTCCTCTAACAGGAAGAAAGAAAACCAAATCACTCAGTTTTTTAAAGTTCACGTAAAGTATAAACCAACACAGCTAAGGTTGATCAACCTCTTGTTAAAAATAATGAAATGATATTGAAAAGAAAAGTGGTAATCACAGCAGATACAGATTTCAGGCTCACTGACCAGTATCCTAAAACGACATTTTATCTACTTCTGCTTGGATATTTTGTAGTGGCAGGGATGGAACTGCTAAACCTCTTGTTGCTACCAGTAATCAAAATTAAGGCACTTCAATTGCTGAAAATAAGCACTGCATCTGTTCTGGATGGGCTTTTTTTCTCCTACTTGGTATGAATTATACAGCAATGTATTCAGATTCCTCCTGATAAAAGTCATGAACTGCAAACGATTGTGGGTTTTGATATGCCTTATCAAAGGGAAGCAAAACACTGCATTCAGATGTGCAGGGGTTTTGGGGTTTATTAACAAAAATATGATACAGATAAAATTTTAAGAGCCAGTTAAAATTGCTGTCATTGTCTCCCAGAACAGGAACCATTAAGGTAGAGAGGTAATAAATAATACTTTTCAATTACACTCCGTAGATGGAAAAGTACAATACAAGGTGTGAAAAATCATCAGCTCATATGAACAAAAACCTTCAGAATAATGTGCTACAAACCAAGAAAATGTAAAAGAAACTGCACTTAATCAGTCAGCATTACCCATTGGCTGTCAGCAGCCAAAAGCATTCTAGGACTTTGTGTCCCTCCCAAGAGTACATCCAGGTTTACGTCACTACGACAGAGCTCAGTGGGTTGTGTGCAGCACTAAGCACTTTGGCAGTGTGCTCAGGGCAAGGCTCCAGATCATGACCTTAAACTGTCTCTCAGGTTGAGCTCCACACTGCTGCAAAAGATGTCTGACAGCTGTACTGACCTAGCTGGCTGTGATGAGCCTCCAAGGACACTGATGCATGCTGACATAATACAGATAGTGAGGCTCTGAGGTGGGTTTTCCTGCAATCAGACACTCCGACTGCAAGGCAGGACATGTTTAAGATAAAATAGCTCCTCCGTTGGGTCTTATGAGGCAACAGGAGAAGCATCAGATTTACTGCCTGTTTTCTTTCCTCCCACTGCTCTGCATGAGGGGGACTGCCGTGATCTCTCTAATTTCTTCACCATTTCCCTGCCCTTCTCAATTCTCCCCTACAACTATGGGAACTTCAGAAAATGACAAGACTAAATTAAACCCACATGGGAACCAGGCTTATTCACCCACACATGCTAAGCTACCTGCTTGGTGAGGACCACCAAGGCACAGAAATATCCACAATGAATACCCATCCACTATAAGGCTTGCAGCCAACTTTCTGTGCAGCTGGCTGGAAGCTTATTCACAGTCTCCTTTGGGAGATAGCTTTCCAAAAACCAATTGTGAGCAATTACTATCTCACCTAAATACAGAGCTGCCTTTAATTCAAAGGAAAGCAACTGTTACAGCTGAAGGACTCTGCAAAGGTGTCTCTGGAAAGCCACTTAATTGGACACATGCATCTTTTAAGCCTTAGCATTACTGCCTAGAACCACAGCAGCTCCAGGGAAAGCCAAAGAAACTTTCTATGTATTTATCCAACCACTGAGATCCAAAGTAGGGTTTACGGATAGTTGTTACTACCAGTGAACCTGGTTCACAGTTAAAGGTCTGCATTTAAGGAAATGTAAAAGGCATGGAGCTTCTGCCATCACCCCTAAGTAACAACGCAGTTCACACCTGCAGAATTCATTCCTCTTTGTGTAAGCAAGCAATCACAACTGTTTGTAGAAATGAACTACTCCACACAGGAAAAGGCTATGCTACTCAGACTGAGGTTACTTGGCAGCAGAAGGTGCACACATGGACAAAACTGTAGACCACAGACTGGGATGGCTGGGTTAGTTCTTCTGGGCACCCCCACAAACTGCAGGCAAGGTGCTCCCCCACAAGACATTAATTGCATAGCACAAATGACTGTAGAGTCCAGGAGGCACTTCAGATACTGTGCTGCTTTTAAATGGGTTGCAGGGAGAAGGGGTACTACAGCCCTAAAAAGCTCTGCTGGAGAAACCCAAAAATGCTACCAGGAAGGCTGGCCAGTCACATGCTGACACAGCCTGCTGCCAAAAGCTCCTCCAACACAGGAGAGCTGGAGTTTGGCTGCCTGTGAAAACTAGTCTTCCAAGAAAACACAGGAAAAAAAAAAGTTCTAAAACACCAAAGCATTTGTTAGCTTACAGGGATTTTCATTTGCTCAGCAGGGGATTAGTGACTAACAAGAAAGATCACTGCAGTTTTAATTCACATTCCCTTTAGTAGTTTGATAACACTTTTGCAGGAAGAAGCATAATGGCTCCACTCCCAACCTATAAAGCGGACATGAACTCTCCACATGGGTGTTTCAAACACCACCACCTTGGCCATTGTACAAACCAACCTCCACCACTCACCTTCTTCTTTTGAAGGGATTTGTTGGGAATGTCCGTGATTTTCCTCTCCAAGTCCTGCTTCCTTGCACCAGAGACTTCCTTAGCCTCTGCTGTCTTCTGCTGACTGCCTTCCCCAGGGGGCTGGGGGACTCTTGACAGGAATGGGAGCTTTATTTTCACTACAAGGTCAGGGGAGTCCTTCACTGGTGAGAGTGACTTCTCCTTGATAGGCAAGGGAAGTTTCTCCTTGTCAGAATCCTTTTTAGCCACGATGGCAGGCTTGTGGCTACTAGTGCTGGTGGGGGTTGTGTCCTGGCTTGGAGGAGGAGGGTTGAAAGCAACATGCTCCTGGGTACTGCCAGGCAAAATGTCTCTCCTGAGCTTGGGGTCTAAGATGTGTTTGGCGGTGGCCGTGTGAGAGGTATTGTGCTTTTTGTTCTTGTGGTCCTGTTGCAGTGCTGGCTTCGGGTCTTTTTTGTCACTGGATTTTGGCTTCTCTTTTGGTTTGGCTTTTGGCTTGTCTTTGGAAGACTGGTCTCTGACCTTGAAAGGATCAGGGTCACTCTTCACCTTCAGGCCTCCCTTGGGCTCCTCATGCATCGGGGCCTTGCTGGGCTTTTTGGTATCCACAGTCTGCCCGAGCGAGGTTTCCTCAGCGCACATGGAAGACTTCTGCCAGTTGTGTTTGGTTGGAAGACAAGTATCCTGAGGAGCCTTGGCCACTTGGCCTGAGCTCTTGTCATTGGGCTCCCTTGGCTTAGCATGCTGGTGGGAGGAACTGCTGCTGATTCCCTGCTCCTTGCTCTTCTCATGTCTATCCCCGTGGGCAATTTCATGGAGACTCTCTGTTGGCACTGCTGGTGGGTTCACCTTGGTTAGCCAATTGTCAAGCTGCCATTTACTAGAAGTTGGTGGGTCAGGCTGCAGACAAAAAGAGAAAGGACAGATGCAAGACTGAGGTCTTTATGGGCTATTTCCATTCTAGCACAGCTTACCAAAACCCAGTAAAATTCCTCTTTAGCAGTTTAAAAGAGCTTGAAAGTGAGAGATCACGAGACAATGGGGATGCTCTAGCATGTGCACATCAACATCTACTTCAGAAACACAGACCCCATTTTTGCACAGGATCAGTCAAATGTGTTGCACAGCACTCCTGGATCACTGCTAGCCCTACCTGTCACTCAGCAAAAGACCAGTCTACATGAAAGCTTCATCTTGATTTGCCACTAACCAACACTGCTGCACAATGAGACAACATATATAAAAAATGATTAGGTGCTGTCCTCACAACACTTTTGCAAACTTTTCTGCACATAGCACTGCTTTCAAACTGACAAGGAGCTGTGCCAGCTATCACGTCTCGCTGAAGTCTGACAGATACGCTGTCAGGCTCCTGTGGTTTAACCATGAGAAAACCATTTACCAGAACTGTATAGCACATCAAGTCCAGGCTCTTCCGAGTCCCCTGCCTACACAACCCAACACTCACTTCCCTCCAGGTCAAGCAAGGCATAAGCAATGACCGAGGCCTGAAGGCCTCCCAAGCCAGTCAGATAACAGGTAATTGCTACAAGCCCTGCCTAATCTAACAGTAGTCTGACATACTACAATAAAACCAAACTAACCCTAAAACAGACAACAGAAGCTTTAAATCAGACACAATTCTCTGGGACCCATTCTGAAAATACCATGTGTGCGTCAGTATCACTCAAATACATAGCTCATTGTCTGGACACCAGAGCACAAATATGCTCTTGCCCACATCCATTCTCCTCAGTCACAACTCTGCTTCCAAGAACCACCACAATTCTTCTCCAAAAAGAGAAAGTCTAGTACATGAAAGGTTTTCCAAGACTCCTGGGTTCCTTCCACTGTGACTTTCTTCTCTATCCAGATTCAACTCGCTGTAGAACATGTGGATAAACAAGACATGTCCGCAACTTTGTTTGAGTGAATCTATCTAGAAAACTGGTTTAAAAACCAGCTTGTTTTCCCATGGATTTAGGGGTTTTCCTTAGGTTTTCCAAACACAAAAGATAGCAAGAGACTTGTTTTTCTGTTTAAAAAGAAGGAGGAACTATTGCCTACAGGTCAAAGTCTGTGCTTTTGCATGGGAAGAACTAGCTATAAACAAATAGGCCATGTGCACTAACTTGCTCCTCGAGAACCATGGATGAACAGTCTGCTGTATAAAAAAAAGGATAAATGATCAGTGGCAAATAGCTGATCATCGGCAAACAGTGGCAAATAACTTCACTAGAGTGAGAAGGGTCTTACAATGTAGTATTCTCAGGACAAACCAGGCAGGATTTGGTAAAAGAAGAGAAGCGTAACATCTGTTTCCTTCCAAAGACACCAACATTGCAAAGGACAAAGTCTGTAACTGAACATCTGGATGGTAAAGTGCATAAATGCAAGATGAAAAAGATACTCATTTTCAAAGCCTCTTTTCTGCACATACAATTTTCCCTGTTTATGTGCTTCTAAGGTCAAAGAAAGGAAAGCTAGGGCTGGGGAATAGGGGAAGAAATAAATTATGGGTTTTCTGGGCTTTGTGAGTACCTCAAAACTGTCAGCACACTGGTTTACATTAGCTGTGGTCCATAGGATATATCCATGCACTTCTCTTCCCACTGGCCTGAGAATGTTTTGCAAGCTGGAGGAACTGTTTGAAACCATGTGACACGAGCACTTCTGCAGCACATCTTTAGAAAATGCATGGTCTCAATTATGAAACTTTAAGGCACCACATTCTGTTTGTCTACTTTTCCCAATGAAAGCCTCAGAAATGCCAGTGCAGCACTATCTGAGCCAAATCCAACAGAAGCAAGTCTAAGCACATTCCAGCCTTTCCTGCAGGTCTGATCACTTCAGCTGCAATCTGGGAGAAGCTGAATCTGTTACTTATGCATAGGAGCTGCAGTGAGAGAGTGTCTCTTCTTAACCTATCAGGAAACTGGTCTTATCCTGAAGCAGTCCATAGCTTTGGCACCCAGAAAAGCTGCGTGAGCAGAGGTGGGTCCCAAACACCCCAGACAAACTGTGCTGCTTATCTGCACCTTCCTTATGTTTTGCCAGTGAAGTCACAAATTCCGCAAGGAGTGCTAGAAAACACTTCAAGGTTAAGCAGGTAAAACTCTAATTACAATGTTACTAAGGGTTAACTGACAAACTCTGGAGCATAAGGCAGGAAAAGTCTGCTGATGCAGCATAGATGTCATAGGGACACCTGAACCATGACAGTATTTCAGATCTCCTGTCCTGACTGCATTCAGACAGCAGGGAGGATGAGGCAAGAAGCTGTGTTAAGCAGCCTCTGCATTTTCTCTGCATTCACCTCAGGCGCTGATGCTCTTGAAGGCTCCTTGGCTTCACTGTCGCTTGCCTCTGAGTCTGAAGAGCTGTCTGAGTCACTGGCGCTCCCTGACTCCGAGCTGCTGGAATGTGCTGATGCCACAATCTTGGGCTGGGACTGTTGGGCACTGCAAGGCCACCACGAGATAAAATTAGAAAGCAGCATGGGTGAAGTTTCTTATTATATTGACATGGCAAGATTCAAAAATAAAACGGAAACCCTGAGTT